CGAGACCTCGAGGAAGACAAGACAGAAGCAGGAGGAGCGGGGACCCGGCTCCTACGCCCCAGAGGCCCGTGGGTGCTGCTGTGGGGGTGCAGGGACGCCGTGGTCCTGGTGCACAGCTCAGGCCCCAGACCCGAGACCAGCGCAGGAGGTCAGTGACAGGTGTGGCCGTGGTTCAGAGACACAGGACATGGCAAGGCTCTCCTGACCAAGCAACCACAGCAGCCCTGCCTCGGTTTCCCCTACTCAACCCACACCCGAGTCGCACACTGGGGGACTGGGAGGCTCCCAATCAGCCCTGGGAGGGAGGAGCGCGCATGCACACACACGCAGGCGTGGACTCCACGCACCCTGGGAACCAGGTTACTGAGCAGGGAAGCTGGTTTTCCGGAGCCCTGCAGGGCGGTGTCATGGAAGGGCCCCGCCAAACACTGCCGAAAGGCTCTTCCTTGCTGGGTGTCGGAAAGTGGCCGGGATCTTAAAAACAGAAAAACCACGACAGAAGCCCTAGCACACAAACTCGCCTGGGACCCAGCACAGCTGGATGCCCGCTGAATTCTTTAATGGGGTACATGTATGGAGAATTTGGGGGGCAAGAGATTGATGACAGGGTGCCTGGTGGGTGCCTGCCATTATGTATAATTTATCTTTCCTTTTTATTTGTATTATTTTGCTGCCAGGGATCGAACCCGGGCCTTACGCAAACTCGGCACCACGCTCTGCCATGGTGCTCTGTCCTGGTCCTTCCTGGGTGATTCCTGGGGGCTGGAGATTTAGCTCAGCGGCATAAGCGCCTGTCTTGCAAGCAGGCAGTTGTGAGTTCGATCCCCAGTACCGTTAAAAAGGAAAAAGACAAAAAAAAATTCAGCCTGGGTGATTCCTAAGTGACACAGCCCCAGGGCGGCAGCACCTGGCCCTCCCCTGGACAGCTCGTCCTCCAGGTATTCAGAGGCCTCCTACCCGGACCACCTGTCCGAAGCAGCCACCTGCATGCTCTGTTTTGTTTTGGGTTTTTTTGCCCTGTTTTTCCGAGATCCCTGTCACCACCTCGTGTCCTCTGATTTGCTGCTCGTGAATGGATGAACGCGAGCAGGAACCACGGGCCTCACCCCGCTTCACCCCGACGCCCCCGCCGGGAGGAAGTCCCTGTAACCTGCCCCGTGCAGAGGGGGCAGAGGGAGGTGACCGGTCCAGACTCACCTGTCTGAGGTCAAGCCTGCGTCCTCACCACGCCCTCCATGGGGCCTGACCATGTGCTCCACACCTCCCTGGCCCTCACTCAGGTGGAAAGAGATGTCTCCTGGGGACGGAGCCGATGTCACTCCCGGAAATGTTTGCTCTGTGAGCCCCTCTGCACCTTCACACACACAGTGGGCCCCACCCGACACACACTCGTGATCACACACGCCCATGGCACACAGCAGCTCAGGCGCTGGTCCAGGCTCTGCCGGGGCAGGAGAAATACCCTCTTAAAACCACCTGGGTGTGGTGGCCGCACCTGTCATCCCAGCACTGGGAAGGCTGGGACAGGAGGTCAGCAGCAAGTTTGAGGTCAGCCTGGACTACACAGTGAAACCCTCTCAGAAAAACCAAATGCCACAACCCGCCCCCAGCCCTCGCCAAACAGCCTGGATGCCTAACAGGGGCCTGAAGAGTGAGGAAGAGAAATTTTCACTTCCCCCTCCTCTGCCCCAGGGCTTGGCCGCCAGGCTTCCTCACTGGAGAAGGCAGGAAGTCCAGGGACAAAAACAACAACCTCAGTGATGCGGCTCAGAGCCCTGTGCGCTGGGTGGCCGTTAGCCACTCCCAGATCCCCCTTTTACCTGTGAACTTGCAGCTGCCTGCGGGACCCTGGGATGGGCAGAGGCTCCCTGCTCCAGGACATCCACCCAGACCAAAGCATGAGTCCTTCCCAAACAGCGAGCCCACATTCAAATGGTCAAAAAGGAAAGGATTCCACCAAATAAGGACATAGTCTCTCATTTGAAACAGAAAACCACTGAGACTAAGCTCAGTGTCCATCAGCAGGGGATAGTGCCCCTCCATGGGTGTGCCTGGAAGGTGGAAAATTACGCATCACTGAAAAAGAACAGGGCAGCTGCGTGCGCATGGATCTCGAGCGATCTCCAGACACACGGCTGGGATGAACCAGGATAGCACAGAGCTGTGTGGGTCTGCCCAGAGAGAGGATGGCAGAGTGGGGCAGCGGAGGGCAGGGGCGGGGCAAGCTTCACCCTCATCGAATGCCTTGTGCAAATTGTATTTAACCTGCGCTCAAGGAGGAAAAAACAGTTGAGTTTTTTTAGAGAGGAGGCTGCGCCCCTGAGGAATTTTTCTTAAACTCATCCCCTTATACACAACAGATCTGCTCACCGCCCTAAACTTTCCGCTGTGCTCTGTGTGTCTCTGGAGACTTTTCTCCCGAGACTGCCCATTTTAACTGGCAAAGCTCCCTTCCATTTGGACAGAATTTCACAAAGCTCTTTTAGGGTGGTTAGGAAATAGGACTTAGAGATTCTTTCGGGTGCCTGTTAGAATTCCCTGTGCACTCACCCTCCAGACGAGCAAAAGCAGGGCCACCCAGGGAACCCCATGCACTCCCCATCACAGCTCCCCCCCAAGCTAGATCCTCCGCCCAGGCCCACCTCGGTTTAGGTTTAGGAGTTTGTTCTGCCCTATGCCAGGCTACCTTGCTTAATCTCATTTAATCCTTTAACCAAAGACATAACTGGCCCATCTCAAATATCCATCCCGACAAAAGCTCCTAAGGCACCCTGGGAAAGCAGAGGTGAGGCGGGCGGCCGGCTGGCTGCCCTGAGCACCAGGCGAGGGTCTGCGACATTGGGTCTCTGGGATGATTTGCAGGCTGGCAAGGACAGCTCCTATCTCAACTGGCTCAATTCTGCACAGCAGAAAGGGTATCACTTTTTTTTCTTTGTCTTTTTGAGACAGGGTCTCGCTATGCAGTTCAGACTGGTCTCCAGCTCACTTTGTAGCCCAACCTGGTCTGGAACTTGTAATAATCCTCCTGCCTCAGCCTCCCAAATGCTGAGTTTACAGGCGTGTGCCACCATGTCCGGGGGGCCTTGATCTTTATTAAAGATGCCGATTTCCTGCAGGCCACTCGGGCTGCACTGAGGGTCCTGGTGCTGCTCCTCCCCCACCCCCACCATCCGACACATTATCCAGGAAACAAATCTGATGCGCTCCAAATCTTCCTATGACAAATTTTAAAAGTCTTAGTATTTACTGCCATGAAAAACACCAACTATGACATCCCAGGCAGGAAAGAGGAGTACCTTCAGGCAGGGTCAGTGTGTCAAAAACAGAGAAAACCAACAGGCGGGCACGAGGGGCACAGATGGGGCCATGCCAGAGGGCACGGATTTTAATTCTCAAGCAGCAGCCCCCGCCTCCCAACACGAACTAGCATGGAACATGACACACAACGGGTCTCGGTCAGCGTCAGCTAAACAAATTCCCTCCCTTCCCCTCTAACACCAGGCTAAGGACACAGAGGAGGGGAAAAAGACAGCTTCTCTCTTCCCCTCGGACAAACACCCAGGAACATCTCAATCCAGCAGCAAGGCAGGGCAAATTTTAAAACCAGCCCAGGAGAATCAAGCCGAGTAGGGATGGCGGGGGTCACTCGCTGGGCCCCAGCTCTGGTTTGGTACATGAAGAAGGGCTTTGCAGATCACAGCCACCATTCCAAGACACCCTACACGCTTGGTAAAAAGTGAAACGCAGTGAGAGGGGAGCCCTGTATTTGCACTTCTTTGGTACACAGGAAACAGAGCCCACAGACAAAGCCCTCTGCCAGCGTACAAACATGTCTAGCAGGTGATCAAATTCAGCAAGGTAGATTCTGGTCTGGGAACCAGGTGCTTATGCAGACCTCCTGGCTGTTTGGTGACAACCCACACCAGGGTGACAGATGCCAAGGGCCCAGGGAGTCCCAGGGAACTGGGGCACTGCAGTGCAAAAAAAAAAAAAAAAATGGGGGGGGTGAGGCACCATCTCCAGGGTGCCTAGCGTGGGCGGGGCGGGGACACCCCCAGCACCCTCTCTCAGCCTGGGAGCTTCCTCCTTTGTTTGGGAGCCTTCTGGAGCCCAAGTTTCCAAGCATCCCCCTGGCCTGCTGGCCTGCCAGCCACAATGGGGCTCCCTGCCGCTCAACAAGGATTTAATCAGTAACCAGCCCAGCAGAGGAGGCTCAGAGGGCAAAGTTCACAGCCAGGCCCGGAGAGGTGTGGGCCCCTTTGGGATCACCCAGCGGGAGAAGAGAGAGGTCCAGACTCAGGGGTGCATGCCCAGCCCGAGCAGCCTGCCAGGGGGCACTAGGACCCCCATATGCTTGCACCCCAACCTGATGCAGCTGTGACCCTGGAAACCTGATCTGTATCTCTCATGATTTAGTTCACTGGATCAGTGTAGGCAGACTCTGAAGATATTTTGGGCAAAAGAGTGTATTCAATTTGTTTATTGGTTTGAATCCAGATCAATCACTTTGGGTCTTGTTCCTGAAGCCCACGCAATTAACCAAAGAATGACCAGGCGGTTCCAAGCCAGACACCTGCTTGGAAGAAGGCTTTGACCCTACAGGAAAAGGTCCTGGCAGGTGGGCAGCTCAAAGCCAGGCCAGGGGGCACTATAATCCAGCTCACCTTTGTTTCATGTGGGCCAATAGTTTCCCATGGAAGGCCTGGGCCACACTCTAAAATGCAGATAGATTACATAAGGACCCCAGCCTCGGGGAAACCCACGGGGCTCCTTTGCTTCCCCAAGGGCCCGGACACCAAGCAGGTGTCTCACGATGGCACAAGATCCCAGGTGGCAGTCCCAGCCCCCTGGCCTGGAGACTATGGCCCAGCCGCGGAGGCCCTCCCTCTACACTCCCAGGCCCTGGGGATCCAGGGAGCTAGGACCCCCCCTGGAGCCTCCTGCAGAGCCAGTGGAAGGCTGCCTGGGCCACACACCTCGGTGACACAGGCAGGGACGGGGATTTTGCCGGCCCATCGGAGGCTTCCTTGTAGCTACTCTTCCTGTATCTCCCAGTGCCAGAGCGAGACTCCACCAAGACAAAACTTGCCCCATGGATGATCCCCGAACCCCAGGACCGGAAATTACAGGTGTCCTGTTCCAGGCGCATGTTACCAAAGGTGCTGCCCACCTCAGCCGGCGAAGGTGGGTGAGGGCCTGCTTACGAATCTAGTGCGTGGCTTCCTTCCCCTTCTTCCTGTCCCCCAACGCACCCCTAGAGCAGCCAGGGGAAGTGAGGGGCCTTTCATCCACGGAGCTGATCTCCCCCAAGCCAGGAAGACCAGCAGGCCAACAACACCCCAGCTTCTCCCAGAGGGCAGAGGCTTGGCCTGCACCTCCCCAAATGGGTCTTCTCGACCATTTTCCTCTCCCTCAACTCCCCTTCCTTTCTAAGGCGGCAAGGAAAAAAGAAGAACAAAGCCCAGCAAAGCCCCTCCCCAGCACCAGGTGAAAATTCCAAAGCCAGACCCAGGGCTCCACAGCCCAGGCAGGGAGGCGCCCAGGCCACCAGGGACTCTGTGAATCCCAAACCCTAGTTGCTTGCTAATTTGGGGCCACTCTCCCTCCATCGAATGAAAACCCAAACGCCAAGGCCTGTGGTTCGACGCAGGGCTGGAAACGTGCACCAATCTGGAAGCAGGACCAGGCATCTCTCTGAGACTGACCGACCGACCGGGGAGCCTGCGTGGAAGAGCGGCCTGCGGAGACTGCACCAGCGTGCCCACAGGAAAGACAAGACAGACGCCCGTTCAGAGCCCGGCCGACCCAAAATTCAGAACAAAAGTCTTCGTGGGCTTCAGGGTTTGGCGGTGGGGGTGGGGAGCAGATCGGGGAGCAGGATTCTTGGGCTGACTTCCCCCCTCCCCATTCCTTGGGGCATGTGTCATGGCCTGTGACACAGCGCCAGGGGAACATGGATGCCGGAGAAATGTCTACACACGCTACACATTTGTGACATGCCATGTAAGCGACACCGTTTCCTGGCTGGGCTTTCTTGGCACAGGTGTGGGCAGACGCTGGATTCTGCTCCCTCCTACTGTGCTTAGTAAACAGGATCACGGGGGTTGGGGGATGCGGTCTAAGCAAAGCGGGGTGGGGGCTCCCCTCTCCTAAGAGGAGGGGACCCCCACGGCCAGGCTCAGGCCAAGCAGGAGCCCAGTATTTGAAACTGTCCTTGTTTCAAAACACAAAGCACCCTGTTCAGGATCCTGGCCGCCACCCCCACTCCCTCCAAGCCCACCACAGCTGTCTCCCTCCAAGAGGAAGAAGGGCCACCATTTGCAGATTCGGTTTCAGCAAGAGATCAGCCGATTCTCTCCCTTCTCATCCCGCCGAGCTGGCCCCAGCCACACAAGGGAAAACAATAACCCTAACAAAATAGGACCGCCAGGACAAAACAGGCGTATACACTGGGGCTGCGCACACACCCCGGGGAGGACCGGGGCTGGCCCAGCCAGCTCCCAGCCAGAACTTGGCCACCCGGGCCTGAGATGTTCCAGGACCACGGCCCCCTCCCCCCTGCCAACCTCCCAATGTGGGAAGATTTTCAAAAAGGGGAGCACCCAGTTTTTGCCTGCCAGACAGACAAGGGAAGAGGGGGAAAAAAAAAAAGGAAGAATAAAGGTTCCTAAAGAAAAGAAACGATTTGGTTTTTGGAAATCCTTTGGGTCTGGGGGTTTTAGGATTTTGACGGTGCGGGTGGGGAGGGTTTCTCCTGCAGCTCAGGTCGAAGAGGGCCTTGGACTTCCAGAAAGAGAACCCCACCACGATCGGGGCCCAGCCTCGCTCCACCCCACGGTCCCCACCATCAGAACGCAAGAGCTGGGAGCCGAGGGTCTCCGGGCACCCGGCCGGGATGGGCCAAGTCTCCGGGGTCTTGCGGTTCCGGAGTCCAGCGGCGGGTCCGAGGAGCTAGGGTCCGACCCAGCCGGGCGCACGAACCAGGAAGGGGGCGCGCGGCTGCCCGCCGAGCAGGCCCGGGCCCGGGACGGCGCCGGGGCGCCGGGTCTCGCGGTGGGGGGGCGCGCGTGGGAAGCCCCCGGCCGCCCGCCGCGCGGAGCGACTCACCGTGGCTGACGCCAGGCTGTTGTCGGCCAGCGTTAGATGGTGCGGCTCCCAGCGCCTCAGGAACTTCGAGGTGAGGATCTTGCTGAGAAAGGTCCGCGGGTGCCGGATGACACAGACCTGGATGTCGCCCTCCTGCAGCAGTTTGTACCTCATCCCGTTGCAGAGCAGCAGGGCCCGGCGGCAGGGCACAGCGCCCATCTTCGTGCCCTCGGGGGCCGGCACGTCGCCCCCCAGCAGCGGCTTGGTCTCCTCGAGCTGCCGGGGGTCGCCGCCGCCGCCCGAGCCGCTGGTCACATCCATGGCCGCGCGCGCGCGGGGGGCGGGGGCCGGGGCCGGGCGCGCGAGCGGGGCTGTCCGGCGCCCGATCCGGGGCCCGCACCCCCCCACCTCCCGGGAAGGTGGGGGGGGCGTGGGGCGGGGGGCGCCCGCGGGAGGGGCGCGGCCGCGGGGGCGGGGGCGGCGGCGGCGACGGCGACCGCGGCGGGCTTCCTGCGGGCGGCCGGCTTCCTCCTAGCGCGTCGGGTGCATGGTGGCGCGCGGCGGGCGGCGGGCGCAGGGCCGAGGCGCGGGCCGGGGTGGCGCGGGGGCCGGGTGCGGGCGTGTCTCGGCCCCGCGCGGCGCGGTGCCACCGGTGCGTGTGTCCGCGTCCGTCCGCGAGCGCCTGCGGGCGGGGGCCGCGCGCCGCCGGGGAGGTTGCGGGAGCGCGAGCGCGCGCGCGATTGGTCCCCGCGGGGTCATGTGCCCGCCTCTCTGACGTCAATGGCGGCAACGGCGCCGCGGCTTCGGCCTCCCTCTCGCGGGCAGGCGGAGCCGCGGCCGGCGGCCGGGCGGGGACGAGGCGGGCGCCGCCCGACGGGAGGGGCGGCCCCTGGGGAGGGGGCTGGGGTGGCGCCCCGGCAGGCCCGGCCCCGCCCGGGTGGGGTGGCGGCGGGAGGGGCGACTCTGGCCGCGCCCCCACACCCGGCCCTGGGTGCCTAGGCGGGAGGTGGGTGAGCGCAGCGTCCTGCTCCCGCGCCGCCCGCGCTGGGCTCGGAGGACCATCGGCCCATCCCACGGCCACGGAGGTGTGACCAGGTGGCCGCCAGGGCGCTGGGCGGGCGAGACCCAAAGACACTTCCCGGAATTGCAGATGCGCCCTCTACTATCGGCCTCTGCAGGCCTCTCCTCCCGGCTTGCTGGTGTCCTCAAGAAGGAGAGGACAGGCTCCCCACCTCTCTCCTTTCTCCAGCCCTTGTAGAACTCAGGTAACAAAACCCCTCCCCGCAGAGCGATCAGCGGCTCTGCTGTCCAGGCACTTCTGGCTTCTTCAGCTTCCCATCTCCCCAACCGCGCAGACCGAAGGTGGTCGTGTGTCCCTGTGTCCCCCCACCGCCACTGGCTCAGGAGAGGATCATATTGGAAGGGCCACTGTGGGACAGACCACTGTCACCAACTCCAGCTTGGAAGCAGAAACCTTCCTTTACTGTGGTCCCCGGCCCAGCACCTGAGGCCACCCAGGCGATGCTCAGCTCCTGGGTGGGGCAGGGCAGTCCACCTCCAGGCGCTGCTGCAGATAATGGTGTTAAAGCCCCTAGATGTTTGCTTTCTGGTTAAGAGACCTAAGCCACCCGCCCTTGTCCTGAGCTTGTGTGTGTGTGTGTGTGTGTGTGTGTCATATTGTATCATGAACTCCGCTCAGAAGTCCAGAGCCCACTCTCCCCAGTACAGCCAGCCAGGGATGGGACAGGTGGCCGAAAGCAGGTCACACCCCGTGTCCCTCACTTTCCACAATTTGCTGACATTCTCTTCGAGGGCTGGACCTCAGCAGGCCAGAGGAGGAATCAAGGAAGAAGGGGCGTGTTCCTTTCCGCTTCACTGCCACAAACTACCTGAGAAAGTCAGCGTGGAGGAAGAAAGGCCTGTTCTGGCCTATGGTTTTCGAGGTGTCAGTCCGTGGCGGACTGGCTGCTGGCTGCGCGGCTTGCAGGCCTGTGAGAGTAGGAACTTGGTGGTGGGAGGGGACAGCAGAGCCAGGCTGCTGAGCTCCTGGCAGCTAGGAAGCAGAGAGAAAAGATGGAGAGCCCAGGGGAAGGGGCCAGGGACCAGGTACAGTCCACAGCTTCCCAGGTAACCCCCAGTCTATGGAGAGCTAGGGTTAGGCCACTCACCCCGCACTTTATTGAGGTCTGGCTGTGTGCTGGGCACAAGCCAGGCACTGGGGTATTAGTGGCAATTACTGTGACAGCCACAGTGGGCCCAGGCTTCCTGCGAGCAAACAATTTTGCATGCACTGTCTTCTTTTTTTTTTTTTTTTTTTTTTTTTTTTTGTCCCTGCAACCTTGCGACATAGCTACTGTCATTAACCACTCTTGCAGATGGGGCACAGAGAGTTTCTGTGACTCACCCGGCCTCACTGGGCTACTCAGGGTCGGGCCCAGTTTCCCTGACTCCAGAACCCAGGACTTAACCACATGGCATGGAGCGAAGGTCAGGGACACTGTAAAACCAGTGACTGCACTGGGTGTGTGCAAAAGCAGGGCATATGTTTGGAGGGGCAGTGGCATGGCTGCGGGGTACGTGTTCCCGCCCCAGGAGGTCTTTGGGAATCAGGTAAAGTAACAGACGCTCCAGGGAAGGAGGAGGGCCCTCCAAAGGGCCCCAAGGTGGCAGGAGGCATGGCCTGTCCAGGCACCCACTCATTTGGTACCAGGTACTCCAGGAAGATCAGGTGGGCTTGGAGGGGAGCCGGCTACTACCCAAAATGCAGGCCCGGGGACCAGAGCGGTGACACACGACCTCATGGAAGTCAGACAGTGACACAGACATGGTGGCTTCAGGAGATCTTGGCTGCAGCGTGACACAGCTGAGGGCTGTAGAGCACAGGAGTCACCTAGGAGGAAGCAGCCAATGAGGAGCCCTCGTGGCCACAGGAAGGTGACAGGGACCTGCGTCAAGTCACCAAGTGGAGCAGCCTGGTGGCAGGCAGAATAACTGCTCTTCACTTCAAGGACACCCTAGACCTCCCGCTACCCTTTTAGGATCCCCAACCCCAGCAGAATGGGGACATCAACCAGCATGCAAAGATCTTTGATTTCTTCTGGGCCCTTGGGGACACCCGGAGGGCCCTGAGGGACGGCTGTTCACCTGTCACAGGAAGCAGCAGTGCCATGAGGGATGCTAATGACTGGACCCAAGGCCGGACCGTGCTGACAGCTGGGGGTGCCTTTTCTCCTTTCCTTCAACCCAGGAAGCCTGGGAATTATCATGAGCCCCATCTCAGGAGTGCTCCTCATGTCTTAATGGTGGGGACCCAGCCAAGATTTGAACCTGAGGTTCCATGTGACCTCAAAAATCAAGTTTTCCCCACTCCTCTGCCAATTTTAGAAGACATTAAAAAGGTCTTCCTTTATAATGTTTTCCCGGGAAGGCACTCAGGAGGAATGTATGAAATTCATCTCCGAATAATAATATTCTTTGACATGAGTTTGCAGTCAGTGACGCGGAGCCCCCAAAACATTGCAGGAAGGAAAGCTCCTAGCAGGTAGGAGCCAGGCATGCTAACTCAGCCTGCATGCCGCCAGGGCTCAAGCAGAAGACAGTGATTGACTGTCCAAGGTCACAAAGTCCCTGGTGCTTAGCAAAGTGCCAGCCACAGCCCAGCTCTGTAAGTTGCCACATGAGTTAGGCTGGTGTTGGTACTTGGTCTGAGACAGTGCAGTTCCCCTGTCTCCTGACCTGAACTGGTGAAGTGGCTACAGGGCCCCCTATCCCCTATCCCAAGTCTCTGACCTAGAAATGACACTGAGCCCAGCCACCAGAGGCCGTCCAGAGCCCCACCTTGAAGCCCCTGCATGTCCAGCGAGTTTCCGTGGGTTAGCCGTGCACCCAAATTACCCACGCTACCTCCACCTCGTGCAAGCAAAGAACTTGACCTTGAACTTGAGAGGTGCACAGTGCTGTAGGAAGGCGCGGGCATGGTTCACGAACCCCGGCACCCTGCACCCTGCACCCTCCCGCCAGGCAGGACCCACCCTGGTGCTGCCTGCTGCCGTAGCCGGTGTTGTGCTGCTGTGAAATGGCCAGCTGGCTGCCGAAGGAAAGCCCTGATTTATAGTGCTTGACCATTTCCCTGGTGTAAACAGTCCTGCCACGGCCCTACGTAAAGCTAGGAAGAGCAGCAACCCCCTCCGTGAACCGCAGGAGCGCAGCCAGCCCTGGCCCCGGACTACAAAACCTACCGATGTTAGCCCTCTGGCCCCTGTACAGACAGTCTGGTGACCCTCCAATGACCATAAATAACCTCGAGACCAGAGTCCGACAAAATGGAATATGATAATTAGGAAATCAGTTTTATGACCGTCTTAAAAATAGAACCTGTTTAATTGTAACTTTATATAACTTTTTTTTCCAAGGGGTGTTTGACAACCAGCTTGCAAAACTCCTGAAAAATTAACATCTGCTGTCATAAGCCAGGGAAGGTCAGCGCCCGCCCACCACGCTGTCCTGAAGCAGACACGCCATAAACATGTGCAGAACGGCGGGGTCTCTAACCAAAGTGCCATATCTAACCAGTGCACCATACTACCGTTTCATTCATTCATTCATCCAATTCTCTTAACACCTGCTCATCAGCACCTCCTTGAGGGCCAGGGACATTGTCAGGTCCTGCAGATCCCACTCGCATATGCCTTGGTCTCAGAGTTCATAGTCAAGTGGGCAAGCCACGCCCCAAATAATCACCACCCCAGAAACATAAGTCAGCTCTCCCCTCTTCCCACACTCAGCTGTGTACTCTTGGCTGATTTACTGTAAAGCAGGGTCACATGAATTCCACAGGGTCAGTGTCAGGCTCGCAGCATTTCCTGTAAGAGTCAGCCACTTCCGGCCTCACCTCCACTTGCACAACACCTAGGATGTGGACAGAGAGGCTTTGCACCCTGCAAACTGCTGATGGTGGGGGTGTGCTGCTTTGTGTCACAGCTGTCCTGGGCACTGTACGGTGTCACCATGTCCCTGGCCTTACCTGCTGCATGCTAGTAGCATCCCCCAGTCATGAGACACATATGTTTCCGGACAGTGCCAAATGTCACCAGGAGGCAGAGCGGCCCCTGGCTTAGGGAGATGCATCCCCTCCCTCCTAGCTGGGAGGGGCTGCTGCTGTATGAGCCACCGCTGCTCTGCCATCCTGCAGGTCACCAACTGGGGAGTCACGTTATCCTCCCTGTGCTGTGCCACCTTCCTCTTCGGAGGCTGGGCTGGGAGTAAACTTGTCACCGGCATCACTGTCAGACTACCACAGGACCCGGGGCCAGCGGGATAAAGTAAGATCCCCTGATCGAGGTGGTTTCGGAGTCTTTTTACTGGCGTGGGGCTTGGGGTGCAGTAAAATGCCAGGCGTCCGAAGCAGGCAGCTAATTGCCTGTTGTAAAACGGTCCTATCTCCTAGCTGCCCACGGGGCTGTGGCTCTAAGGGAATTCTCTGGAAGCCCCATCTGTAAACTGTCTCCCAGTGACGTCAGCCAGGAGAGCGTTCCCGAAGCTCGTCTGACAGGCATCAGATAGCAGCGCAGCAGAACATACACTCTGTCCTGATGGCATTTAATGTGCTGATCAAATAATAAAATGCAGTTATTTCTTCTCCCAGCATCGAGAGAGGAGCCTGCATTTTCCCTGGAGTCTGCAAACACGCGCCTCCCCCTTCTTCCAGGCTGGTGTGAGGCCGGCTCTTTCCCCAGGCCCCACAGCCCAGAGACCACTTCCTCTTCAGCAGGCTGTGACAGAGGGCTGCGAGGGGCCCTGCTGTGTTGCTCCCATCTTCCCTGGCTTCAGGGGACAAAGGGGCAGCCAGGCAGGCCTCTTACACCCAGGGCTAAATAAAAAAATTAGTACTAAATACTGTTTTTAGGTCAACAGTTCTTATAATACATGGATAGATGATGGATGGATACACGGGTGGATGGATGGATGGATGGATGGATGGATGGATGGATGGATGGATGAACGTAGTCCTACCAAAGCTTTAATTGCAGGTGTGTCCTCTTCAGTCTGACTTTGGGCACAATGGCTCTGAGATTCATCCATCTGGTGCTTTCATTGTTTGGGTTGATGTATCTGTCACATGGGTATGAAACTTCTGGGTAAATTTTGTTTTCAGGTTGCTTCGATCAGAAAATAACACAGGCCCTTTCTTTTTAAAATTTATTGACACTCTATGAAGAACCCAAACTCCAGGCTGCCTGGCACAGCCACATGGGCAGCGGAAGGCCACGGACCCTATTTCTAAGAGATAAAAGCCTCTGTGCTCTTCAGATTAATTGCGTCTTTCTCCCGCACTGGCTTTTTCAGGGAAGCTGCTCAAACTGACCGATTTCCACGTGACCTCTTTTCTTCCCACCTCCATCCGCCCTGAGCCGTTGCTAAGGTGCTGGATAGGTGGGTGAGGGGCGGGTGCTGCTGCTGTGCGGGGGCCCCCTCTGCCCCGGCCCCTCCAGACCATCTTCAGGTGAGGCAGCGTGCAAGGACTGTGCCAAGCCGTCTTGCAGCCTGGAAGCCAAGGTAAGGGTTTCTCCAGGCGGGACGTCCAGGGCGTTGCAAGACCAACTTTGGGTGTGAATCCCAGCTCGCCATCTGTCCCCCTGAGCCGGTTATGCCAACCCTTACTCTGTCTGACCCTCTGTGTCTCCCCTGTGAACTGGAGATCGGATTGTGATGCTCATAGTTAAGCCAATGAGATAATGTGTCGGGGCGCAGGACCAGGCTTGGGAGGAAATCAGGGCTGGTGGTCTTCTTTCTTCCAGAATAGCACAAAGCCAGAAGTGGCCAGGGGGTGAGGAGACCACGGAGGCTTCCTGATGGCTCTGTTGTGACAGAAACCGATCAGAGTGGCCTAAAGGAAGGCCAGCTGTGGCTAGAGACAGGCGAGGGTGTCTCAGAGGCCCCCGATGACCAAAAGGGAGCCAGGACCCGAAGAAGGCTGGAAACCGAAGGCGGCAGGGGCTTTCTGTATCCCGCTCTCTCTCCCCTCCCGGGGTGAGAACTTGGGCCCCTTAGCGCCCTGCCCCTGAGCTTGTCACCGGAGACTTTGCCTGTGCTTTGCCTGGGTGTGAGAAAGGTGGCCCCGGGGACAGGCCCAGGGGAGCCAGGGTCTCCTCCGTCCAGTCACAAGGAAGGACTTGGACACCACCCCAGCCAGTGTGCGAGCCCAGCTGGGCAAATCCTGCTGATGGCACGGGAGTTACAGGGGGTGGTCAGGTGGGTCACCGTGGGCTGGATGGGGTCCCCAAGAAATGTCACAGACAACCACTTCTTCCATTCCACTGCCCAGGCTTGGGTTTTCCCTCCTCCCCTACCTCCCTCTGTCTCTCTGTCTCTGTCTCTGTCTCTCTCTCTCTCTCTCTCTCTCTCTCTCTCTCTCTCTCTCTCTTTTCCTTTTTGTCTTTTTCAATCCAGATCTTGAAACAGCGTCCTCATGCAGAACTATATCCCTGACCCACTGTTAATTTTGAGACAATCTTTCTAAATTAGTAGATTACCCAAGTTGGGTTCCAACTTGCGCTCCTCCTGCCTCAGCCTCCCAGAGTGCCAGGATTAGAAGTGTCCACTCCCGTGCCCCGCTTGTGCATTTCTGCAGTAGTTGTGGTAGCTAAGACAGGTGCGGGGCTCACCAGATGCCAGTCACTTTCACAAGCACTTGGCGTACGTTGAGTCATTTAACAACTCAACCCACAACAAGTCAGCGTAGTTTATTATGGCCATGGTACAGATGAGGAAACTGAGGCAAAGGGGAGTTAAACAGCTTTGCATTGGAATGATCTATACTAGACCTACACTGTCAGCTGGGCCCCCAGTTGCCTCTTTTATCCTCAGTCATGTTTGTGTGACTCACCTGCCAGGCCACTTCTCCCAAAATGAAGACAGAAAGGTGCAGATGGGGAGGAGTCTGAGGTCCAATGTCCCACAGAAGCAGTTAGCAGCCGGCCAGGAAAAGGCTGGGACCACACTGCTGGCGAACCCCCTCCGTTCTCGCTGGAGCCAGGAGGCTGGGGCGTGCGTGGCCGTGTGACATGGCCCAGTGACCCTGTCCTTGGCCCTGCCTTAGGTCTCTGGGTCTTTGCCTGTCAGCCTGTACCAGCTACAGCAGGTGCTTAATAAGGGTTGTGGCTGCCGGGAAAGTAAGGGCCGACCTGAGCGTTTTAAAGTGTCCCGAGGATGAGGAGCAGGGCTGGCTCAGAGTCACCTGCAGGTGCTTGAAGAAGGAAGGGGCTGGGGACAGGAGCGCAGACACAGGACCAGAACGCTGAGTGACCTGGCCTCTGGGGACAGGGGCAGGCCAGGACACCTCGGTCCCCTCTGTCCCTCTCCTTTTTATGGTACCAGGAATTGAACTCACAGGCAGGCGCTGTACCCCCGAGTGGCCTCCCCGGCGCCCGGCCCCTCCTGACCTCTGAGGGTCTCACACTTCACCTTCCTGACTGGCAGCCTCGATGTCCTGAATCCATTCAAAGCGCTGACCTTTCATGGTCATTTTGAGTATGGGGAGGAGCCAGAGGCTGCGTGGTGTCAGAGCCAGTGAACAGGGGGAGAGGACACCCCGTAACATTTTAACCAGCCTGTCCTATGGCATTTGCTAGCAGCATTCGGTGGATATTTGATTGCACCCTGAAAAGGCCCAGAAGAGGTCGTCCTGAGCTGCTTCAGTGACAGGAGTGATGGGTGTGTCCTAGGCATCTTTTACTGTGATCATTTTTTCCTCATTTAAACATTCACTGTATTTTTCGATCACCCTTTTATGTGCCTGGCTCTGGGGCTCCCTGGGGGAACCGGTCCCCCAGGTAAAGACCCTGACACAGAGCTGCTCATCTTTATCCAGCCAAGGTTCCCAGCCAGGCTGGAGAAGGGCAGGAGGCCTGCAGGTCCCCGGAAGCAGGAGGCCCCTGCTGTTAACAGCAGGAGCGAATCCCACACCCTTTGGGGGGCACAAGTCTGAACTCCAGGTGCCCGCAGTGGGGCTCAGCTCAGGAAGACCCTGTTCCAGGGCTGTGTTTGCTGAGGCATGTGGAAGGCTGTAGTCCGTAGATATCGCTTCCCACTTCTGCTGGTGCAGCCCAGCATCACCAGGAGACTTAGGGGTGCTCAACCCAGTGGCCGCCATGGACTGGGGAGTCCACGCAGCGTGAGGGCAACAGCCCGCAAACCAGAGCTGACCTGCACCCTATAACGGCAGTGGCCGGCAGGTGGCAGAGTCCTGGGCTAAGGATGCAGGCAAATGGTTCATTTCTATATTGATCCAATTCCCTATTTTATTTGGCTAAAAATCCTGTTGGTATTTGATGTTGGTATTTGAGATATATAACATTTGCGGTTTACTGTGGGGAATTGGTGCATCTATATCATATCTTGGTTATTTTCCACTCTTTTTTCCCCTTTTCTATCGTCCCCCTCCCTCCCTTGTCTAAAAATTTTAAGCAAATTTTACTTGGAGGTTTTGCAACCTAGTTGACCATGGAGGGGTATTTATATTTCAGGGGCCTCAAGTTTGGATTAAGGTGGGAAATTAAGGTCGAATTAAGGTCACCCCTCTATGTCTTTGGCCATGACAGACATCACTAATCAATCACGAACTCAGCCCCAAGATCACTGACAAAGAGCAGTGCAGATCCAGAATCCATGATGGAATAATATAGTCTCTCTCTGTCTGTCTCTGTCTCTGTCTCTGTCTCTCTCTCTCTTTCTTCTTCCCAGTACTGGAACTTGAACTCAGGGACTTCACACTGAACTACATCTGCAGCCATTTAAACATTTTATTTTTTGTTTCCTTTTATTTATTTAGTGTTTTGACCCAAGGTCTTACTATATAGTTCAGGCTGCTCTTAAACTCACTATGTAACCCAGGCTGCCCTTCAACTCCCAGTGACCTTCCTGCCTCAGCCTCCTGAGCGCTAGGATTACAGGTATCTGGGTAAATTTTTTATTTCAATATGGGGTCTCAATGGGCACAAAGTAGCCCAGGTCAGGTTTTTTTCCTGATTGTGGTAACATTGACCCGCGTCACCCTGGTGCACACCACTTCTGTGGTGTTAGACACATCCACATTGTCCTGAGACCACCCATCTGCCCGGGCTCTTTCGTCCTGCAAAACTGAAACGCCATACCCACTAAACCAACCATGGTGTCCTCAGTCTGCGGGGGTCTCACTCCCTGGCCCGGCGTGTGGATGGACCTCGTTCTGTCACTGACATATGCTGAGCCTTTGGGGTTCAGCCACCTGGACAGGTGTTAGAATTTCCTTTCTTCTTAGGCCATGTAACGTCCCACTGGAACTCACTATGAAGCCCAGACCGATCTTCAACTAGAAATCCTCCTGCCTCAGCCTCCGGAGTGCTAGGATTATCTGCACGTGCCGCCATGCCTGGCTTTTAGGCAGCCTTTGTTTATTTTTGGCCTAGCTCTTTCCTCACTGCCTTATTTTGTGATGTGGACAGCCATCCGTGAGTACCAGGAGGTAGCGTGGCTCCTGTCACCCTGTGTGAGCTGCCCCTCGGCCTGGACATCCTGCCTGTGCCTGGCCGTGTCTCCTCACTTAGAGTTCAGCCCGTCTTTTCCAGCACCGAGGGTTCATCCCTGACAAGCCTGGGCCCCGGGGCCCCGAGAGTTCCCTTCCTGCTCACCCCTGATTTGCACCACCCAACTGTTCTCCCCTGGCAGGGGACACACCTGCGGCCCCTCCCTGCTGCCCTGCCCTGCGGCTTATGTCTCATGAATCTCACTGAAGTCATGAAGTCCTTATCCCCTCCCTAGGGCCATCTGAAGGTTTCAACATAAGTAACAAAGCAACAGCCTGGAGGGTTTTGGTGTATTTTTTCCTGTAGAAGCACCGTGTTCCTAAGATGGGTT